GTCATCTGTTCTAGAAAGGCATCATCCAATTCTTCTGCCTGATTTGGGTTCTGTAGTAGACTCCCACAATAACATTCCTTGTGTTTCCCTCCCCTTTAATTTTTATCCAGATGCTCTCCACCTGGCTTTCAGGATTGTTGTCCTGGATTTCTTCACTGGTGTAAATATCCCTGACATATAATGGTATTCCTCCCCCTTTCCTGTTTAGCCTGTTTCTCTTGAAAAAGGTTATACCCCTGTATTTCTACTTTCCAGTCATGAGACTCATCCCACCAGATTTCAGTGATGCCTATTATATTATATTTGCTTTGTTGTGCTAGGAGTTCAGGTTAGTGCAAGAAGTTCTTGTTCATAGGGTCACCATAAGTCACCATAACTCAAGTTTATAACAACAAATTATTTTATTTATTTATATTCCAACCTTCTTCCAGGCAGGGACCCAAGGTGGTTCTATTACATAACATTCTGGACAACAAATTAAAAGACAATGAATATCAGAGGCATTAATAAATGAATGTCAGGACTTAGCTGGGGAACTATAATTTATCTATGGAAGGATATCTGAGTTTTGGCCTCAGTGCTCTGAGTAACCTGTTCTTTGCCACAGAAAAAAGAGTAAAACAGACTGTAAAAAACTAGTTTTTCAACTCATTATGTCAGGACTAAGAAAGACCACTCCAGGACACACTGTCTTCGGACTTTTACTTTACTGTGGCTCAGATTGTTAGAGTTTTTATAGAATGTATGTTTCAGATTACACCTTCTGCTTACATTGCTGAGGAGAGGAAATGTACAGTAGGCATCCCTTTTGATATAACAAAAATGTATATTTGGCTGCAATCAGGCCAAACATTTACATATTGTTCTGCACATCAAGAAATGTTACCACATATTCTCCTATGCAACTCATATGAAATTGCATTGCATATTAGTATATAATCAGCCTTATATCACTAGTATGATAATGTCATTTGCTCTAGCCATAAGGAAACTATACACATTATGAGTTGTTGTTGTTAATGGCTGTCAGGCCAACTTCAATTTATGGCAACCCTATAAATGAGAGATCTCCAGGTCACCCTATTACAAAAGCTCTGCTCGGGTCTTGCAAACCAAGGGCCTCTACAGACGGCGCTTTGTGCTGTCTTAGAAGCAGGGAAGGGCAGCCACACGCCGGGAACCCCAACCCCTTCCCAAGGATGTCATCAGGGCACACAGAGCTACACATGGCGTGCGCCACCAGGATGTCCTCCTGGTGCAGCGTTTTTGCATGCTGCACTAGAAGAGGTGCAAAAAAGCGTGGTAGAGTCTCCTTCTTTGAAGGTTTTTAAACAGAGGCTTAAGGGCCATCTGTTGGGGGTACTTTGTGAATTCCTGCATGGAAGGGGCTTGAACTGGATGGCCCTTGGGGTCTCTTTCAACTCTATGATTCTATGATTCTATTCTATAAGTCTATTAATCCTTGGATAAAGAATCTGTGGATACAGAGGGCCAGCTGTAATATATCATCTGCATATTTTAAATGGTTCCTCCAGTTTTCATGCTTTCTTTCTCCAAATCTAATCTTGCTTTATATATGTGATATATTCAGTGAACGCATTAAATAGATAGGATGATTAAAATGCAGCCTTGCCTGACATGTTTGCCAATTGGAAATCATTCCATTTCTCCTTATTCTATCTTAACAATAGTTTCTTGTCCTGACTACAGATTACATATAAGAACAAGCAAATGTTGTGGCACACTCATATCTTTAAGAGTGATCTATAGCTTTTCGTGATCTATGCAACCAAAGGCTTTTTTGACAGCCTGTGAAGCACAGGCTGGTTTTCTTTTGGGTATGCTCCATTATTCATAGTATGTTTGTGATATGCAATCTCTAGTGCTTCTCCATTTTTTGGGAATCTGGCATTTTTCACTCCATATACAGTAAAAATCTTTGGTCGAATTTTGAGCAACACTTTGCATGGGAAATTAAAGTAATGATACAATGGTTACTGCAATCTTTGCTGTCCTCTTTCCGGGGGACTAGAATATATGCTGGCCATTTTCAATCTGTGGGCCATTTTTTTGTTTTCCATATTTGTTGATAGATTTTAGTTAGAACTAGAGTAGATTCTCTCTCTGTAGGTTGAAGCACCTCTATTGGTATGCCATCAGTTGTTGGTGATTTATTTCTTCCAAGAGCTTTGAATGCAGCTTCCACTTCACTTTCTAAAACTGGAGATTTCTTTTCATATGGTTCTTCCTTGAATGAATCTACCATCCTTTCATCTCTTTTATAGAGTTCTTCACTGCTTGATTTTCATTTTTTTCTTGATCATGCAGTTTATTTTTTCCCTTTTTATGACACCTTTCTCTCAAAAAGGGACCCACTTCATCTACTTCACTTGCTGGTTGTAGATCACCCACACTCTTTAAGTTTTTGATTTCTCTTTGATTTCTCTGAACTTATGGATAAGATCTTTTACACCACCTTCTTATTGTTTATCTACATTGATTGCTATAGTAGCTCTTTTGTCCCAGCACACAAGCAACTGAACAGTTGTGTTCAGGTTTCTGACCCTATTTCTGTCCCCTTTAGCTTTCTCATCTCTCCTTAAATGCATGAAGACTTTCATCTACTATCCAAGAAAACCTTTCTTTCTTTTTAGCTGCACATAGTGTCTTTTTGTATTTTTCCTTCACAATATTTCCAGATTCAGTCCAGATTCATCTAACTTCTAGTCAATTAGGGTTAACAATGCAAATCTATTCTTACACTGTCTTTAAATTCTACAAGGATAATCTTCAGGTTGTGTTTTGGCACAATAATAATTTTAGTATTCTTCTTTAGCCAAATGTTTCAGACTACCAGTTCATAGTCTGTGCCACAAACTGTTCTTGGTCTTATTTTTGCAGACAATGGAGAGTTGCCATTTTCTACTTCTAATTATCTAGTCTATTTTCTTTCTATATTGGTCATTAGGTGATGACCATGTATATAGTTGTCCCTTTCATTGGCTGAAAAATGTGTTTGCAATGAACAAACTGTTGGCTTCACAAAATTCAATCATGAAATCAACGCCTTGCTGACCATGCAATTGTCTGGCTGAAAATTTCCCATTCCTGTACACTTTAGCTCACTCACCCCAAATATTACGTTTGTCCATTCCATTTCTTGTTTTACTATATCTAGTTTCCCCTGATTCATGCTTCTCACCTTCCATGTTCTTATAATTTGTATTGTGCAGCTTCAGATGTTCCTTTTTCCTCTGACCACATCAATAGCTGGATGATCGTTTGGCTTGAGTCCAGTTGCAACATTTAGAGCTTTATTTTGTTTTATTTTCATTTATCATTTTTGTTATCCTGCCTCTCAAATTAACAGCCTTTGGCTAAGTGGAAGAAATATTGGTTTACCAGTCAGCTGTCTGAGAGTCATTAGGATTACGGAATTGTTTTTTCTCTTCAAAATGACATACTGCTAATTCCTCTTTTCAATGGATAATATATGGCACCAACCTAAGCTGCTGCCAAACTGTAGAATTAATGCATTTTGACACCACTATAACTGTCATGACTCCATCTTATGGAATCCTGGGATTTGTAGTTTTTTGTGACACCAGAGCTCTCTGACAGAGAAAGCTAAGTATCTCACAAAACTACAGATCCCAGAATTCCATATCATTGGCAGTTAAAGCAGTGTCAAACTGCATTAATCCTACAGTATACGTACAGCCCTAGTGTCCATCTAATGGTAACCAGTCTAATAGTTTATATCAGGGATAAGCAACCTTTCCCCTTTAAGGGCCGAGGGACTTCAGCTCCCAGAATCCCAGGAGCTATTGGCCAACATGGGACTATTGGCCAACGTGGCTGAGGTTTCTGGGAGCTGAAGTCCCTCGGTCCTTAAAGGGGAAAGGTTGCCTACCCCTGGTTTATATGAATCCATTAGCTAAACACTTTTAAGAGTGAGAGAATGATCTGTAAAATCACAAACTCCATCTTGAGGCCATCTTCCCACTGAGTCTGCCTGAGCAATGCTTTATCTGTCACCTCTGTTGTGTGGTTTGGGTTTCCACCACATTACTATTTGGAATCTGTCAAGTTTCGGTTTCATCTCCCCAGTTTCATTCTCCTCCCCTTGTGTTCATTGTTTTGGACACTACTAACCCTCACAGCTGCATTTTTTTGACTTGACCTTTTGATTCTTTTTGCAACAAGAATGCAAAGGGGAATCCCCTGGGAAGGGAAAGAGAAATAGTTAGGAACAGGAGACACAGAGAAAGAGCAGGGGAAAAAAGTAATGCATTTTGAAAACTGCTATTGTGAAGATGTTAAAATGGGAAGGAAACTAGACATGTTGGCTAGCATCTTATTCGTCCACCTTACACTCTGGTCCTCTGGCAGACATTTATTCCAATTAGCCAGAATGGCTGAAGACGGGCCCTTTGCAGCATCCTCGAGGCAGGTATGGGGAGGGGCAGCCACACACTGGCTGCCGCAACCCCTCCCCAAGGATATCCTGATGCCACATGCTGTTATGCCTGGTGCACGGTGTCAGAATGTCCTCCCTGCGCAGCATCTTGACACAGTGCATCAGAAGGGATGCAATTGAGCCGCGCAGCAGCTCTTGGGGCATCCTTTTTGCTGGCTTTGAAAGGAGCAGCATTTTGCTGCTCTTTTCTGGGGCAGCAAAAGGGAGGATTGGGCTGAGGCATGGGGCAGCCT